ACAGAAGTATATAAAAGCCCTCTCCCACCCCTTGCCCCCCACCCCCTCCCGTAGTTCTGGGCTGGGGCTTAACTGCATTTCTAACAAATTCCCAGGTGATGCTGGAGCAGCTACTGCTGGGCTGGGTTCCACACTTGAAGGACCTCCGGTCTAGGTGATATGCACCACTCTGCCTTGGATAGGCAATGGTTTAAATGTACTCTTCCTTACATTTTAGAAGTTGGGGCAAGTACGGAATTGGACCGCCTATCTTATTAACAAGTTATATGCAACTCATATCAAAATAGGTGTTCAGGTAGGAAATTCATGATTTGCCAAGTCTCTGATTCTAATATGGACTAAGATCAAAAGGTTTTTAGCACCAAGTAGTCTTATTTTCTATGAGTGATACAGAAATTGGAGGCAGGAAGAGATGGAGGGAACTTCATTGATTTAGGCTTCCATAATTAGGAATAATTTGGAGAGATGATGCAATGAAATTTCTTTGTAGTATTTGTCATAAGAAGAACTTGTAAATGAGCAAATAATAGATCGAAATAATAATTCATACCTGTAGAAAATATTTTTTATGAGGAAATACAGGAAATGCTATTTTCTCAGAAGAGCATCCTACAAGTAAAGTTGGCTGGAAGGTAATAAATGAGTCTATTATTTCTTGAGGCTTTTTATAGATTTCTACTGTCCTCAAGATCTCTTCAGTTCTTTGACTCCACTTTGCTATGGGTTTTTCTAGGTATTGCAAACCTATTTGGGTGTTTGATGGCGCAGCTGTGGCTGCCGAGAGCAGAGTTTTAAAAATGTGGTCCTAGGGCCTCTACCAAAGATTGACTGAAATCAGAATCTCAGGGGATAGAGCCCTGAATCTATATAACAAACTCCCCAGGTGATTCACACACTGAAGTTTGGGAACCAATAGCATACATATTTGATTTCCAGGGAAGGGTTTTCTGCTCTCAAGAGACGTTCTTATGCTTATGTTGATCTTCCTAGTAGTGACTCCACTGTTGTCTCTTTCTGCCCCTCGTTTTATTGAGATATAATTGACATCTTGGATAAGTTTAGGGTGTACAGTGTGATGATTTGATACACATATGTATTCTGAAATGATTACCACGATAAGGTTAGTTAATAGCTTCATCATGTCACGTAATAACTTGTGTGTGCACGCATGCGTGCGTGTGTGTGTGTGTGTATGTGGTGAGAACATTTAAGATCTATTCTCTTAGCAGCTTTCCAATATAATACAGTATTGTTAACACTGCCTCTTTACAAGAAATTGTGGTAGATATTCATCTCAGCCCACAAACTCCGGTGCTTAAGAAAGCAACTCTCTTTCCTTCCTCCCTTCCTCTATCTCCCTCTCCTTCCCTCCTTCCATCCTTCCCTTCCTTCCTTTCATCTTTCCTTTCTTCCCTCCTTCCTCCCATCCCTCTTTCCCACACCTTTGCTTCATTTTCCCTTGGGTGTTGTCCCCTTCTGTGTGACCGAAACTTGGTTACTCTCAGTGGGAAGGGCCGGGGGCTAGTATAGATTTCAGTATTACACATATGATTTTCACTTATGTCCCGTGGGTGAGAACTCAGCCACGTAGTGACTTCTGGGTGCAGGGGACCTGGGCAAAGTCGTCTTGGCTGGGCAAACTCATGCCCAGCTAAGCTTTCATAACTTGGAAGAAGGGAAGAAAGCATTTTCGAGGAATAACTAGCAAGCTGCCACACTTCCTTTGCATTTTCCTTTCCTCCTAATTTTGGCCAGCTACCTCTCTAGAGGTTTACCTGAATGTTTGGTTTCTAGTAAGTGTTTTTTTTCCCCTTCAAAGCTTGAGCAGTGTTATTTGAAGCCTATTTTCTTCAGAATTGAGGAGATGCCTGGGAAAGGACTTAACCCGTGTTCACTGCCAAGTTTAAGAAACCTCCAGGCACGTGCGGGAACTGGTGAATGTCCTGACAGGAGTCTGTGCAGAGGGAAGGATCTCCCCAGGGAGATCTCATCCGAAGGCAAGAAGCCTGCCAAAGCCAGCAGGGCCTGAAAAAGAGGTCTTTTGCCTTGGAAGGGAGCAGCCCCGCCGGTGCAGGGTGGTGATTATCCCCTAGCCACTGACAGCACATTGGGGTCACTGGGACGAAGAGCATTGTGTAACACCCAGAAGAACTGTTTACTAAACCTGTAACATTTTGGACCTGAGATACACTGTTTCGGGGGACCATTCCAGTAGTTTTTAACATGAATGGGAGAACCAGTTTCCTCCTGTTGTGTGGTAATGACCGCGCAGTTGGGCACTTCGCAGACCCAGCAGTGCACCTGTGCGGGACCGTGCAGTCTGAGGGAGCTCCAGGGAGGAGGACCCTCCATGTGGAAGCGACACAAGGCAGCTTGGGTGTTTGGTGGAACTTTCACTGGCATCACAGAGAGCACCAGTCCCAGCTAAGGGAGAGACTGCCGTATCCAGAGAAAGTGCTAAAGTTCTAAGGAGACACGCTCGGCAGATTAACAGCAGTGCCCCAGGAAAGCAGCTTGGACAGTGGTGTGTAGGCTGGTGGGTGAGCACGAGTGAGACCCCTCATGGGGACCCCTCAGACGGGGAGTTTCCAGTGCACCAGAGCTCTTGCTTAAGCTGATGGGAGCCAGAGACAGGGCAACTTAGATTCCCTCAGATGGAGACTTATATGACTCAGGCCAGGGGCAAAACCTTCCCCTAGACTGCTAAGAAGCCACTTCTACCTGATGAATGCCACATTTTTAAAGCTCAGTCGTTACCATTTGAAAATATCTCATAATTTAAATTGTACTGGTTTATCCTAAAGAATACTCTCCCTGACCCTCATCTACATGCCTCCAATGACTTGGATTAGTAGAGAAGGGACAACAGCTCAAGGTGAGACAGCGTGCAAAATATTACAACTAAACCGAGAGAAATACTAGCCGCTAATCCTCCCTCCCTTGGGCCCACCCGGCACTGTTGCATTTCTCCTTTAGTTCTTCGCTGTCAGCCTTTTATTTTAAATTATTGGATTTTGAGAAGCTGGAAGGTACCTCGGAGATTAGTTATAACCCAGGACATGTGCAGTCCAGCTCAGAGAGGAAGGTTAAGTGACTTGCCTAAAATGACACAGTTTCTCATTCCCTCTATTAGATTAGGGCAGCCCTGAGAACAACTGTGGTGTCACCTGCTGCGCGGTGCTCCGCAAGGCGGTGCCTTCTCACTGATGGTGCCATACGAATCAGCTGAAATGAGCTAAACTGAATCTTCCTTATGGGCGGTGACTTTTCATCTTGGAGAATGGCAGCAAGACAAAAATCTCGCGGGAAGCCAAACTTGAATTTAAAGGCCCCGTTCTATGTGAGAAAGTAGGACTTGGATGCATCCTCTAGTGGGTGAAACTTAAACAAAAAAATGTATTTAATACTTACGTAATTCTTACCATGTGCCAAGCATTGTTCCAAGTGCTCTCCGAATTTTAATTCTTTTGGTCTTCATAATAGGCCTAAGAGCTAGGTAGATCCTATTATCCTCAATTTACAGATAAGGAGGGTGAGGCATGGAGGGGCAAGTCACTTATGGTGGATCAGACAGGGAATAATGACAGACCTGAGATTCAAACCCAGTCAGCCTGGCTCCACGCTGTGTCTCCAAGGGTGTGGACCACGTTCGGAGTTCTGGGCGATTTTCTCTCTCTTTTAACATTATTACTAAAGCACAAGGCTTCCTTTGGCAATTTCTGCAGCCTGGTCACAAGCACCACATGGGGCTCCAAGAAGCTGCCATTGGCACAGTGGACACATTTTCAAGTCTGTGTCAGCACAGGATCCACTGCGGCCAAACATGACACAAAGACCAAGGCTCTGGGACGGGAGCCCTGACAGAACCCTTGGGCAGAGTCAGCGCACGGGCGCTCGTGTGGCTTTGCTGACACAGCTGGTCAGCCTCAAGAGGCTTCTGTGGTGGCCGGGGTGGCATGGAAGGAAGTTAAAACATCAGGGGTTGTAACTTTCTTTCTGCATCTTGCAGAGGTTGTAATTCATTCTGGCGAAAGCCATGGCACTTCAAGCATTAGAACTGTGTCCTTGAATAACTTTTCTTATCCAAGATTTGAACCAAGTACAAAAGTGGTTAGGTTGTCATTTAGACTTGCCAGAGAACAGAGGAGTGACTGGAACAACTTGCCATAAAAGGAAAAGTACTTATTTCCAAAGCCTTTGAGGGAAATGATTGCTTTACTCAAATTTCAGATTTTCCCTCTAAGATACAAAACTAGCCAGAGTCTCTTGGTTTGAACTGAGCTTGTTTCATCTTAATGATATATGGGACTTACTAGTAGAAAACTGGGGAGATTTTATACCTCAAATGTAACCTAGAACTGGTATTTAGTGGGATAATGGGAAATAGTTTGAAAAGAAGTTATGGGCGAATACCAAAACTTTAAAAAAAAAGAAAAAACTTTGAAATGTTCTTGGCTGTGATTGTCATAAAATATCAACTTTCAATATCCTTATTTTAGCTCTTTGAGTTCCTAGGCTGCTGTGATTTGACCAGTGTAGAGAAAGGGGTCCTTCACTAATGTATGGTAATTTCCCAGCCGAAGCCCTATCTCGGGACAGACTGCTTGTCATCTGCTTAGTTGTTTCAGAGATTCAATAAAGGGAGCATCTTTTCCATTATAAAAAGGCAATTTCATTTTAAAAAGCTGGATAATTGTATACAGTTTAAATCAACCCTGAAATAATATTGGAACCAGATCAGATTCTGAGGTTAAAATAGATATCTTGGGACATATTCAACAGTTTGATGACAAAAGCCCACCTTCTGGGATTTATAGCTTGAGAGGCTTTCACTGAATTTAGAAACAAATTAAATGGAAAGTCTTGAGCTGAAACGTGCTGTTCCCAACAATATGTGGGGCTTAGACATTTACCAATTTTTTTTTTTTTTTGCATCAGGCACCTCCTTTATTTTTCCTTCCAATCTCCCCAGAGTTACTGAGAAAGGCTCTTCTTCTGGGTCATTGTCTCTTCATGGTGCTCTCAATATATGACTCCAACAGGAAGATGGTTTCATCCGCCTGGATCTCACTGGCTTCCAACTTGTTGACATTATGCTTCAGGGTTTGTAGCTGCTGGCGTTTGGGTGCTGTGATCATCTCCTCTATTTCTTGGAGCCGTACCTCCTCTACACCTGTAGCCTGCATAGATGCAATGATGGCTTCCACCCTCTGAGACTTTTCTAGTAGACGCTTGTTCTCTTTGGTTTCAAACTGTCTCCTTTCTATCAAGTTGGCTACACTCTTGTAGCACCTGTGCAGCAACATTCGGGCAGCTGACAGGATGTTCACACTGTATAAATAGAAGGTCCTGGTTGGGGCATGGTCTGGCGTTTTGGGAATTTCCTGGAGTGATATGAAATTTCCTGAGAGCATCTTATAAAGCATATCCTTTGCCTCCTTTGCTGGAATCATTGCAAAGTCTTCTACCTGCTTCTGTTCCAGGTGTTTCTTTTGCAAAACTAAACGGATTATTCTGGCACAGCGAGACCCAAACCTCTCCTGTATGACAGACTCCAGAGTGGCTGTGGCTAGGGATCCTAGAGCTTTATGCAGGTTGATGACATACATTCCTCCACCACCGTCGCCAAACTTTCCAACAAACTCTAGTGGACCATCTGCCAGTAGAGTGAGATACAGATCGAAAACTTGTTTAGAGATGTTACAGCCAACAGGTAGGGATCTGAAGATCTCATTGGAAGACAGTGGCTGGGTGAAGGGGTCAGTAGAGGGCGTGGTAATCTCACTCATCTGAAGCATGGGCCACATGACCTCGCTGCTGGTCTGGTCCATCCTGTTGGCAACTGCGCTGACAATGGCTCGGTCATGAAAGTGCTGGTGGAATCTGTCAAGGTTGGCCTGCCAATAAATCTCATCATCTGGAATGGGCTCTTTGTTATCTGTGCTATATTTTGGTCTCTTGGCTTTGGGCTCCCCAGCAGCATCTTCATCAGATGATCTCCTTTTACCTTTCCCCATCAAGCTCAGTTTAGGAACCAGGTACATGTCCTTTTCACTGATGACAAGAATGGGGGCAGGTCGCGGTGGCCCCGGGTCTGAATTCTCAGTGGCAGGCATCCACGGGCAACACTGTACAAAGTGTGTGTCTGCTAGCTGCACAAATGTGTTTGATACCTCAGCATAGTCCATGGTCTTGCCATCCTCCATAGTCTCTGTGAGTCGGTCTGCCGTTGACATTGTCATTTTGCCATTCAATAGCAGCTCCTCCACAATGAGCTCTCCAGTGTCACTATACAGTGTTCTGGCAGTATAGATGTACTGGGGATACCTAAGCATTCGCAACACCCCGCTGCACTGGGCTTCATACTCCACTACACCACGTTTATGCACTTGATATATCACCAGGTTATATTGGATGAGCATACAAAGGGCTTTTTTCACCTGATCCAGCAATGTTCCTGTGTTGTGGGCAATTACTCTCAGTGGCTGGCTGCCAGTTCTGATTAGGTGGACTCCAATTTTTTCTACAATCTCTCCAAAATGCTCTTGCAGCAACAAAGAGCAAAGTTTAATTTCTGCTCGAGCCATTGTACTGAGGAGTCTTAGAGCTCGGGGTCAATGCAATCTAATACCTCCAAGTTGCCCAGGGCAGCTTCTTGTGGCTCCTGCTGGCCGCTGGGGCAAAGGGAGAGCCCACGGCCCTTTCTTGCAGGAGGATGGACAGCCAGGAGCTACCATACATTTTTCAAGATCAAAATACATATCAAATCTCAACTAGATGCTAGGTACAATGTGGCACAGTATGAATAAGAGATAGTTCTGACTTCAAGAGGTTTACAAATTAGATGATTTGAGGAACTGTTGTGTAGTTTTTAACATTTTGGGGTCATGGACCTTGGGTTGGTTAGGATTCGATTTAGCTGGAAGTGACAGAAAATACCAAATAACTATGGTTTAAACAAAGTGGTAGTTTATTTTTACTTCCTGCAAACCTGGGCAATCTGTAACTAGAATGTCACCCTCGTGATTACCAAGGCTGTAGATTTCTAATATTTTTTCTTGTCATCTTCAACATTTGACTTCCACCTCACATTTTCAGATGTCTGGTGAAGCTTCAGCCATCATGTTGGTGGAAGGAGGATGAAGACCCTCTCTTCTTATTTAGTGACAAGACCACCTATTTATGCCTTGCTGTGAGGGAAGTTGAATAATAGAGTCTTTATTTTGACATTTCTGTTCTCAGCTAGAAATGAAGGGAAGAATGGATATTGGGAAGGTTGACAATCATCATTCTATGTGACAGATGCCTTTAAGAATCTTTTTAAAAACTAAGACCCCTTTAGAAAAATTCATATATGCACACACACATTTCAGTATGATTTTAAGGTTTTTGCAGACTTTCTCTCCCCTTGAGTCCAACCAAGTTCTCTAGGAATATGAAAATGCATCAGTGATAATTTTAAGCAGCACCACAACTGTCACAGGTAGGGTTCTCCAGGAAGGAGAGCTGAGATGAAGTTAGAAGTTTTAAAGGATTTGGGGGGCGGATAACACTTGTAGAAATAATAGGAGGGGAAATATTGAGTTGGGCAGGTGGGAGCCATCAGATAACTATGTAGGGCTGAGAAAACTCTGCTAATGCAATGGGGGCAGGTACTTTCCAGCTCAGGTTGTCTGTTGGAGAAGTCTCACACTGGGCAGGAATGGCTTGGCCCTTACACCACTGCCTTGTTCTATCGCTCATTGAAGGCTTTCTGGGTTAAAGTGAGATCTTGGGGGTAATTCTTAGAGGGGATCCTAAAGGAGATATAAGCTGGAAGCTATCTATTAATCATAGTCTTTGCAGATGAGCATCGAGTCCTTCCTTGAAGGAACCTGAATGGTGCATCTCGATGTGTGCCACAACCAGCTACCATTCAGAGGTTTAAATTGCCATAGGTCCATAAAAGCCAGCTGTGGGTGTTTATGCCACTCTTGTAAAATCGTACCTCTAGGTTAGCACTGACATTCTTGGAGATCTTCCTCATTTGCTTATCTTGCATATTGAGTTTACGATAAAGCCATCGAACAATGCCTCCTGACTCAATCACTTTGGCCATTTGTAATGAATAGCTCAAGAAAGGGTCAGGACAGCATCACTCTAGGATAGGGAAATGGAAGAGAAGCTTCATCACCTGAGCCATCCGTGGCTGAAACATCATCTCTATGACCACCTACTAACCTTAGAGGGGCTAATGCTGGTCAACAGTCTGAGTCATAGACACCTCCATTATTTGAGAACAAGTTTCGTGGTAACAATTACTCATTAGGGCAAAGAGTGACATGCCACTGCTCTGTGTCCAGTTCAGGGAGGAAGAACACAGACCCTAAGGAACGGTGACAAAATGGCTTAATTATTAAAATGATCAAAATGGAGCTCAGTTAATATTGTAGAAGTTTAGCTCACATTCTGTCATGAGTCTTGATTATTCACATAACTGAAAGCCTAGGAGCTGTATCATAATTAGGGAGGTATCAGCATGATGCTGCATAACTTATCTACAAACGATGAGCTTGCTTGGTGCCAGGAGGGCCTTTGCCATGACAGCATGTCAACCATCTAGTGAAAATGTGAATTTAAGTTGTACAGTGTCATTTCTTTCTTATTGGACAACTGCCGAGGGTTAATTTAATTATACTCTTTGGTTCATGGCATACTAACTCATTGTACTATACAAGGCTTCATCCTTAATTTAATTTTATTTTCAATTATTCTCAATCCCAGTCCCCACCCCTATGTAGGCATTCCTTCTCATACAGTTGATACCTGTACTTCAGTAGTCTGTATTCTTGTGATCTGTAGGGTTATGATGTGGGTGTCTGTATTTTAAATTTCTTTAAACTTTATCAATCCCCCTTAATTTTGAAAAAACTTATCATCATGTTTTAAAGTTATACTCATGTTGCTATACATCGACCTAGTTCCTTGCTTCTAACAGCTGCCTAGAATTCGAGAGCATGCCTCCACACCACTTTTAGACCCCTTCCCTGGTGACACCTCTCTTAGGTCACTTCCAACTCCCTGATGCCACAATCAGTGCTTTTGAGAGTCACATCTCCTAAGATAAGATACATGAAATATAAGCAATAACTTGATGCCTTTAAGGCATTTTCAGAGCTGGAACTACAAAACCTGCTGAAACAGGAAGCAAAGCTTCCAGCACAATGGTACTCCGCAGGGTGCTGTGGTTCTCCTCAGGTCGGAAGACATTATCTGGAAACTGGCATTTGATCGTCATGACTGGCATCTAATGTTGCTGCAATACAAGACAGCTCCCACCAATGAAGAATTATTCGGTCTGAAATGTCAATAACACTGAGATTGAGAAACCTTATTATAGCAGAATTATTTTTAGTGCTGCAAATGTATTTCTTTCATGCATTCTTTGAGTTTTGATCTGGATTGCTTTTCTTGTTTCTGCTTCCTTACTATTCTGTTACACTGACATTCCTTTCCTCAAATTTCCTCTTTTATTTATTGTCTCTGACTTCTGTTCTCTCTTGTTCTTTTGTGGCCACCTGTTTTGACTGGGATCAGTTCTTGGCAACTTCTTTCCTCATACCTGCAGCCAGGTCCTATTGAATGGCTTGATCTGACTTTCCATCCCAATTCTGCCTACTTCTTAATATAATGCAGTAATAGTTCTTGATATAAATCAATAACTTAATATTCTGATTCATACATCTGTGGAAAAGATGTTAGTTACCAAATAATCTCCATTCTCCACTTCTACCCTACCAATAGAACACCAATTTTATTCCAGGTGGAATTAATAAAATATTAAATATCCAGACTGCCTTTTCAATTATTCGGGACATGTAAGTAATGATTGTTGCGTAGATCTTCCAAAATGTTCCTTAAAGAGCAGACCTGGGGTGCCTGGGTGGCTCAGTTGGTTAAGCGACTGCCTTCGGCTCAGGTCATGATCCTGGAGTCCCTGGATCGAGTCCTACATCGGGCTCCCTGCTCAGCAGGGAGTCTGCTTCTCCCTCTGACCCTCTTCCCTCTCATGTTCTCTGTCTCTCATTCTCTCTCTCTCAAATAAATAAATAAAATCTTAAAAAAAAAAAAGAGCAGACCTACCATGCCTTTTTTTCCTCTCTCTCTACCTCTTCCTTATTTCTTTCTGTAATCTAGACATAATTATTGGCACTCCAGCAGCCATCTTGCATAATGAGGCAATCTTGATGGTAGAAGTCAATTGTAGAAATAGTGGAGTAAAGATAGAGTTTGGGTCCATGATGATAGTGCAACCACTACAACAGCCCTAGTTCTTACCTCTGGAATTATTATATGTAAGAAAGAAACAATACTCAATCTTATTTAATGATAGCATGTGCTTAGCTCATGTGGATTCCCCCCCCTGCCCACCCCAGGTAGAAGGATGCTCTCAGTGTGCTGGCAAAATGAAGTTTGAACCTAGGAAGCTAAAGATACGAATCCAAGACCGTGATGGACTCATGAAAGTAAATTCTCCTCTGTAAAGCTTCCCACCTCGCTGCCACTTTTCCCAGGTGATAGACTTTGACCTCACCTGCCCTCATGCTTCAAGATTCATGCCATCATAAGCATTCAATGTGAACTATCCACCCATGAAACCATCTTTTCTATTTCCAGCAAAATATTGTTTTAGAAGATGTTAACCATACATACAGAGTACTTTCAGATATTGTTTACTTGGAAACATTAGCAAGAAGAAATGCCTCATGATCTGGAAAGGATACTGACCCTCAGACCTGGAGAAAGCACCAAATTTCCAAGGTGACCAAGAAAATAGTCAAGAATTATTACTGATTTTAAAAACCATTTTGGGGAAAAACTTCTTTTTTTCTTAGATTCCATCCCAAAATGGTTTGCATTTTTGTGGAGGTTAAGGAGTTTGTGCCATTATAGTTTAGGTCATGGAGGGCCAATATGAAGGTGACGATGAGCTCTTCCTCAATTATGATGTTATTTTTATGAGGCTGGAGGAACAATCGCATTAGCAGCATCCTTCTCATCCAGAGATATCAAGGGTTAGTATTTTGACTGGATGACTAACCTAAGGATGTTTCAGACACTACAAGATGAAAGTGACAATAATCCTTCTTAGGAGACTACAAGTGCTAAAGTGGAAGCAACCTCATGGATTTGGAAACACCAATGCAACCATCTCAGAATAGGATATCCACTTATCGTATAAAGGTCATGCTAGATCAAGATTTAGAGATGTTCCAGGAGCAGGTGAGGCTGGGATTCACTGTTTCTAGTCTGGGGTATTTCTGGGCTACAGTCTTGGGGTACGTTCTGAAGAGACTGCTATCTGAATGAATTAGTGCTGAGCCATGTGCATTTACCCAGTACCCAGAGGAGCTTTATGAAAGGCTTACCAGTGTCTTTTTTTTGTGTAACAAAATCTGACACAAGGCATGAGAGATGTTAGAGCTAACTCCTGGGGCAAAGCTTGAAGATGGAAACCATCAGGACATAACCAATAGTATAGTATTAGAGAATATAGGTGTATATAGCTATTTTTTGGATGGATAACCAACTTTCAGTCTCTTTGTAC